CTCCACAGCCCTTTCCTCTGGCAGTATTTGTGGTCAGCAGAGCCCGTTATTTATCAAGGCAATTTCCAGATCATGGTAATGCAATCATATGGTCTGCTTACACGAGAATACTTATCTCTCTTGACACCACCAAGAGATATTGGACCATTGAGGAGTGACTTACTCCCCTGGAAATACTGTTTACCAGGTTTTGTGGTGTAGATGGAGAGACTCTATATGGGCAAGTATACACAGGGATTTCAGTATTGAATTCATATACAGTTTTAAGTGACTCCACTAAAAATGGAAACTGATGTTCTTGACCAGTTTTGCTTAGTGATACTAAAGAATGTAACAATGGCCTGTAGTGGAATGGTTTTGTGGTCTCCCTGTGTAAAGCACTGAAGCTGCAAAACCTCGGTTTGCCGTTTATTAACAAGGAAATTTACATATCATTGTTTGTAACAGTAAGGTAACGACCAAAAGACCTAACGTTTGGGATTAAATCAATTACAGTCGACATTCAATGGATTACTCTGCAGCCATTAAGTGGAAAGAAATAGAATGGTGTGCCTGATATTGAATGGTTTCTCAGATATAGTTCAAATGAAAAATAAAATCAAGGGGCACAACCGTATGTATAATATGCATATTTGTGGGAAAAAGGAGGTAAACTAAAAGTATGTACTTGTATAAACAAATTTTTTAAAAGGAAAGCTGAGATGCTTTTGCATAGTTGTCTATGTGGAGGGGCACTGGGAAATCTAGTATGTGGGTTTTTTTTAACACTTGCATTTGTTATTTTTTCCACAAAAATATCTACTAATTAAAAAAGGAAATGAGCACATTTTTGCATAAATGTTCAATAGATCTGTAACTTAAAAGAAAGTAAGGACTTTCTCTTTAAAAAAAATTGGTTTTACTGAATGTGAAATAGGTACAAAAGAAAATTTATATACTGTGTGTAAGGTATAAAGAGTAACTATGCAACAAACACTTCTAGATCCACAACCTGGTTAAGTAACGGAACATTTCTTTTGAAGCCCCTTATATAATCCTTCCTAATCCCATCTCCTTTCTTTTCCCCCTGGAGAAGTGATTGATTACTTTTGCCAATTTTGTTTTTATTTATTCCTTTGCTTTTCATTTTTTTATCACTTAAATTTGTTTCTCTAAGCGAAGTATTATTTAGTGGTGCTTTATTGTAAACTTTGCATAGAAGGATCATATTACGTGTATTCTTTAACTCACTTTTTTCACTTAACATTATGTCCCTGAGATACATCTGTCTTTATACATCTGTAGTTCATTCAGGTTTACTGCTCTACAGTATTCCCTTGTGTGAGTGTACAGTTGATTCACTCTACTCTTTTTTTTTTTTTTAAGATTTATTTATTTATTTGACAGAGAGAGAGAGAGACACAGTGAGAGAGGGAAAACAGCAGTGGGAGTGGGAGAGGGAGAAGCAGGCTTCCTGTGGAGCAGGGAGCCCGATGCAGGGCTCGATCCTGAGCCGAAGGCAGACGCTTAATGACTGAGCCACACAGGTGCCCTGATTCACTCTACTCTTGATGGACATATGGCTGCTGTGCATATGATCCTACAAGCCTTCTGGTGCCCATGTCCAAGAGTTTATTAGGCCATTTACCTCGAAATAGCATTTGTGAATCACAGGCTAAACACATCTGTGGCTTTCAAGAAAATGCCAGATTATTTTTAAAATTGTTGTCGTAATTTTTGTTTCCATCAACAGTGTCTAAGAGTTCCAATACTTGTTATTATCAGACTTTTCAATCTTTGCCAGTTGATATAAAATAGTCTCTCAGTACGATTGAGCATCTTATGTTTATTGGTCACTAATGTTTATTTTCTGTGGATTATATTTTATTAGGTTTTATCCATTTTTATATTCAGTTGTTTGTCTTTTAACTTATTGATTTCACTGGAGTTCTTCATGTATTCTCGTACTAATTATGCAATTCTCAGTTATACACATTACACATTTCCTCCCCATTTGTGGCTTGGCAATAAAAACATTTACTTCCATCATTTTAAAATTTTTTTGTTATGGGAATTTTTAACATATGTAAGAATGAAGAGAATAATATAACTAACCCCTGCATATCCATCACTCAACTTCAAGAATTACCAACATTTTGCCAATCATATTTTGTCCATTTCTTGTCCTCCCGAGGTCACAGGCATCATGTCATTTTTCCCGTAAATACTTCAGGATGCATGACTGATTTGATAAGAGAGTTTAAAAAGAAATACATCATGCTATTATCGTGTGTAACAAAGTTAATAATTCTTTAACCTTCAACTTTTCCCAGTTGTCTTAGAAATGTCTTTTTATAATTGGCTTCTTAGAATCAGGATCCAAACAGGGTCCACATGTGGTTAGTCTTTTTTGGCCTCATAAGTCTGCTAAGTCTCTTAGTCTCTTTTTTTCATAACGTTTGATACTCCTCCTCTGCCAAAAATACTTTGTACGTGTATTATTTTGTGTTTTTATGTGTGCTTTTTGTGTGTGTGTAAAAATTTTTTAAAAAATATTAATTGATGTAGTTGAATATATAAATTATTATTTTTATTGGAATTGCATTGTATTTGGTGAGAATTTCCTCTTTATAATATTGAATCTTCTTATCCATGAACCTGGCACATCTCTCCTATTTAAGGCCTATCTTTTCTTACAACATCTCCCTATAAAAAGTATGATACACCAATGTAGAAGAAAAAGAATCTTGCGCCTGAAACTAATGCAACATCATATGTCAACTATACTTCAATTAAAAAAAAATTTTTTTAAAGAAAAAGACAACATTTGCCTCTACCTCACACCATACACAAAAATTAATTTGAGATGGATCGTGGACCTCACAATAAAAGCTGGAACTATAAAACTCCTAGAAGGAAACAGAGTATCTTTGTGATTTTGGGGTAGGCAAAGATTTCTTAAGCCACAGAAAACATGAATCATTAAAAAAAAAAAAAAAAAGGACCCAGTTATTGGACTGAAAACTTCTTTTTTTTTTTTAAGATTTTATTTATTTATTCATGAGAGAGAGGCGAGGGAGAAGAAGTTTCTCAAAGAGCAGGGAGCCCGATGCGGGACTTGATCCCAGGACCCTGGGATCATGACGTGAGCCGAAGGCAGATGCTTAACCATCTGAGCCACCGAGGCGCCCTGGACTGAAAACTTCTGCTCATCAGAAGACATTATTAGGAAAATAAATTGGCAAGCCACAGACTAAGAAGGTACATGTAATGCACATGTTTGGCAAAGGAAGCAAGCAACCTAATGTGAAAACAGGCAAATATTTTGAATTGATACTTCACAAAAGGCCATATCAATAACCAAAGCACAAAAAGAGTGTTTACTATCATCATTAGTCATCAAGAAAATGCAAATCAGGGTGCCTGGGTGGCTCAGTTTGTTAAGCGACTGCCTTCGGCTCGGGTCATGATCCTGGAGTCCCGGGATCGAGTCCCGCATCGGGCTTCCTGCTCAGCGGGGAGTCTGCTTCTCCCTCTGACCCTCTTCCCTCTCATGCTTTCTATCTCTCATTCTCTCTCTCTCAAATAAATAAATAAAATCTTTAAAAAAAAAAAAAGAAAGAAACATTTAAAAAAAAAAAAAAGAAAATGCAAATCAAAACCACAGGAATCTACCACTAGGATGGCTAAAGTAGATAAAGAGAAAGACAACAGCAAATGTTGGATAGGACACAGAGCCACTAGAACTCTAGTTTATTGTTGGGGGGAGTATAAAATGCTCTAATTATTTTGGGAAACTGTCAGTTTCCTAAAATGTTAAACATACTGGAATTTTATTCTCTGATACTTATTCAAGAGAAATGAAAACATGTACACAAAAACCTTGTATAAGAATGTTTCTAGCAGCTTTATTCATAATAACCTACAAATGGATACAGCCCATATCTGTCAAGAGGAGAATGGATAAACAAACTTGTATATTCACACAATGGAATACTACTCAACAAAAAAAGAATCAAACTATTGATACATAAAGTAACATGGATAAACTATGCTGAGTGAAAAAAGCCAGACACAAAAAATTATGTAAGGTATTATTACATTTATATGAAATTCTAGAATAGACAAAACCAAATTGTAACAGAAATAAACTCAGTGGTTGCTCTGAGTATTGAGAGTTGACCAGGAAGGGGCACAAGGAAACTTTCTGGGATGATGGAAATTTTCTGAGTCTTCATAGGAGTGGGTTACATGAGTATAAGCATTTGTGAAAACTGAATGGATCTCGTCAGAATTCAAGAGTAGTGTTTATAAAGATGGAAAGTTAATCCTCACAGGTGTCAGCTGAGATTGGATGTCCAGAACCGTATGCACGAAATCTGTGCCTCTGATAACCATACTCCAGACCAGTGGTTTTCCACTGGGGACCATTTTACCCCTCGGGATACATTTGGTAATGTCCAGAGACATTGTTTTTTCCAGAGACATTTTTGATTGTCATGACTTGAAGGGGGAGGGATATTACTGGCATTTGATGGGTAGAAGCAACAGAGGCTGCTAAATATCCTACAGTCACATGACAGTCCCCCACAACAAAAAATTATCTGGTCCAAAATATCATTGGTGCCAGCTTGGAGAAACCTGTTCTAGACCTGCTTTTCTTACAGAAGCCGTCAGCCTTAGCCAACCAGATGTTGATTATATTCATGGTCCAAATCAGTTGTGGAAACTTGGCATTTGCAATTTCTTCCCCAATAGAATTTAATATCAAATATTTGTAAATATACATAACCTTAAATTTTGAGATAAAATTCCATGTGTCAAGAGCACTTCCAAAATCAAAATTAAATGTTTTGTTTTGATTGTTAAATTTTTAAGATGAGGTTTGTTCTTAACTTTTTTTCATTAAATATTCAAGCGAATGACCTGGCTCTCTTCCTTTAAATAAAGTAAAATAAAAAGGCTTTATTATTAGATCAGAGGAAATAAAAGATAGTAATTTGTTTTTCTTCCCTTTACAGAATGACAGGAAGTGAATTCTTTTCTCGTTTCCCGGAACTCTATCCCTTTCTTCTCCAACAGTTGGAAGCTGTAGCTAATTCTGTGGACAGGTAAGAAGAGAATAGGGTGGGACACAGTGAAATCGGAAGTGAATTACTTCATTAATCGAGATTTTTTCCTCCAGGCAACAGTTTTTAATCAACTCCTTCCTTGTAACTTAGATGGATTTTTTTTTTAAGTGCTTCTTTATTATATCCTGTTGCCTGACTCTACAGTAGATTTGTACCTGAAAAGTTGTATAAAATCCTGTTTTGTTTTTGTTTAGAGTTGGGGGGAGCGAGAGGGAGAGAGAGAATCTTAAGCAGGCTCCAAGCCCAGCACAGAGCCAGCCACGGGGCTCTTATGACTCTGAGATCATGACCTGAGCCAAAATCAGGAGTCAGACCCTTAACTGACTGAGCCACCCAGGCGCCCCTAATATCCTGTTTTTATAATATGTTTTATATTTTTAAAATCCTGTTTTATACTGTTTTTTCAAATTCTTTTTTCAGTGAACATATTTCAGAAACCAGCTTCTTAGAAACACAGCTTCTAAAAAGATTTTCTTCCCATGATATTTAAAAATCTCTGTGTTTGCATACTGAGTTTGCTGTCACTAACACCAGCCATTTTTTCTTACTGGCCTGTTGCAGTTGACCATTGTGAGAGTAAACAAATAGCTGGCTGGTCTGGTCACCTGTGACCAGAAATGGCACTGGCATGCCTGACCCTAGAAACAGAAAATAAAACTGTTCAGAGGACTTCGCGTCTGATGAGGGCACATAGAAAAGTTTATCATTGTCCTTTCAATCACATCCTGTACCGACAGTGGAATTTTTAGAATGGTGTCTTAGAACATGTGCTTTTTTATTCTTCTAGCCATATTTGCACTTGATAGGAATTTATACTCATTATCTGTAATGGGGAAGTAAAATAACATCAATGAATTTTACTTCTGTTTATGATACATTTCCTCACATTAGTAATTTGTACAGACAGACTTTTCTGGCCCCAGTAAGTGACCGTTCAAGCTTTCATAAATACATTTGGCTGTTGAAAGTTTCACATTTCATACTGTGGAACTCCTCTCTGCTGTATGAACAGCTCAAATCAAAACACAGACATGAATTAACAATTAGCTTTGAGAAGAGAATCGTGGGCTGGAGCCCAATCCATGGCTTTGCCAGTAGCTCTTCCTTATTTGCACATTAGGAATATATGAAATGAATGGAGGGGAAAAAAACGAAAAAAGGGAAATGATCTTCTGATCATAGAGAGTCTCACTTTATATTCATAATCATTTAATGAGAAAAATGTTTGAAGGTAGTGTCTCACCTCTTAAATTTTAAATCTTTTATGTACAATCACTTGTTTTTCAGTGATACAGGAGAACTCAACCGTCATCCAAGCATGTTTCTCTTACTTTTGGTGTTGGGAAGACTCTACCCTTCCCCGATGGACGGCACCTATTCTGCTCTCAGCATGGCGCCTTTCATTCCGTTCATTATGAGGTAGTGTGTGCTTTGTGGAAATAATGGGGTGGGTATGGGGGCAGTATGGGGTATTTTAACTTGTTCATATTTCAGAAAGTGTAGTTGGTTTTTTTATTATTTCTTGTTTTTTTACTTTGGGAGGGGTCCTGTGAAAGCAGGGGCCTGGGGGCTATTGCCGTTGCCCCCAACTGGTCTCCAGTGTTTCAGAGGAAAGTGCTTCTATCGTGGGTGCAGAAGCCCATAGCCATAGCCAATGTTTAAGTAATGTTCCCTTGGCACTCTGCCTGCTAGTGGATGTATGGTGTTGATAGGAGCTGCCTGCTTTTGAAAACATAGCCTGGGTATTTGCATTATCCCTGTGTTGAGCCTAGCCAGCATGAGGCAGGCTTGGTCCTGGCATTATATCCCCTGTCCTACGGTTGAAAATGACATTTGCCTCCTCTCTCTGGAGGAGTTTGCTAGTGGGTGCAGGGGGTATCATCTAGCTGTCCATATGTGGCACAAGTTCACTTCCTACTCAGCTTCTCTTTCAAGACTGGAGCACCTGAGAAAAAGCATGGAATTATACATGGAATCAGATGGTAAACAGGCTTTTCTGCTCCAGAGCCTATTGCCTCTTCCTCTGTTACAGTTTTTGAGGTGTATTTGCCAGCTTCTTCTGATCACCTTTTTCATTTTCGGATCAAAGTCCTCAATAAATAGGCCTCCAAAAAGTCTTAAAAATTTTCTTAGGGAACATTTCAGAAGCCCAGTCATATTAGTTAGCTTTTGCTTTTCTGCGTACGACTCGATAAAGCAGCACTTTCATTTTTATTTAGGTACCAGAAATTGAGATAGACTTAGAGCAGAACGTTAAGATACACCAAACTCAGGTGATTAACATAACAATAAAAAATTAAAAAAAAAAAAAAGATACACCAAACTCAAGAGAATGTGTTTGTTATTTATGTGGTGTCCTGGGTTCCACTTCCTGGTTTCACAGAGCTGACTGATGCATTTCAATGTGAGAAACCATGAAGCGCGAGATGCCAGCCTGTGATTGCTGCAGCCATTTGTTTGCACCAAGCTCTGGCGGTGGCTGTGTTATCTCCGATCACAGAGATGACTCACTCAGATGGGGTTTTTGTTTCCTGATACACAAAGTTACCAGTCTCTTGGATCCAGCATTTGGTGATTCATTTTAGGAATTTGGGTTGTAAATTTTACTTTCAGGAGCATTTAAAAATTGTACTTTCACATATAACTGGAAAGAACTGAAAAATGTTTCAGAAGGTTGATGGGGTGGGGGAGGAAAGGCACATGCTCAGAATCACAGAAGGACATGCTCTAGAACTTTGTCATCGTGTGTTGAGAACATTCCATTTGTGGAAGCTTATTACTAATCAATCTGTTATGTGTTGCATCCTAGAAACCAGAAATTACTACATTGAAAATATCCTTCCTGTTATTTAGAGTCTACATATAATCAGAATGCTCGTATTACTAATTATATTCAGAGCACTTATTATATAACAAAGATTGCATTAATGTAGAAGATTTAAATATTGCCATAAAGCCAGTGTCCTTAGTGTATTGGTTTTTGTTGTTGTTGTTGTTGTTGTTGTTTTAACTCAAAAGGCACAAAGGGTCCATTCCACTGTCCTTCCAGGGAAAATGTCTTGGTCAGTAGTTGCTTTCTATCCAAATAAGCATTCATAGAATGCCACCAACAGCCCAAGTGCCACAATTGATTCCTTAGAGTGTCAGTAGGCTCTGTTTATTGAATGTCCATTTGTAGTATAGAACAGTGTTTCTCAGACTTTAAGAGGTAAACCTATCACTTGGGGAATCTCATAAATTCGGATTCAGTAGGTATGGAATGGAGCCCGAGGGTCTGCATTTCAAACAGACTTCCAGGTAATGCTGATGCTGCTGGTCTGTAGATCACACTTTGAGTACCAGGATTAAATCTGGAATTTTAAACATTATCAGATCCCCTGCCCTGTCCCCCACTACACATGATTTTTTTTTTAAAGATTTTATTTATTTATTTGAGAGAGAGAGAGAGAGCACATGAGGGGGGGCGGTCAGAGGAGAAGCAGACTCCCCGCCGAGCAGGGAGCCCGACGCGGGACTCGATCCCAGGACTCCAGGATCATGACCTGAGCCAAAGGCAGTCGCTTAACCGACTAAGCCACCCAGGCGCCCTACTACACATGATTTTGACAGTAGTAGGGTCATACTTGGTACTTGGTTAGGCTATTCCGGGGATTTATAAGAAGTAGATTTTGACCCGGGAATACAGAGAACAAACAAGAAAGTACTCTGAGCAGAGATGTTAGCAGAAAGTACACCGTTTGTTGAGCTTTGACTATTTGCCCAACACTGAACCGGCTATCTTACTTACAACGACTCGGAGAGGAGGTGTTATCACCCCCACTTTCGTATTGAGGAAATTGAGGTTCAGAGAGCAAGTCAGTTATAGAGCTAGAATATGAACCCAAGAGTATAGGGCTGTCAAGAATGTTGAGTGTATTCTTTCCATTACACCAAAATAACCTTTAATGCAGCCGAGAGCAGTGGCTACACTGAGCAGGCCCATGGGCCCTGAAATTGATGCATTTCAGAGTGAGGAGGAGCCTATCTCCAGAGCTAGTGGACCAGAGTGCTGTTTTCAGGATATAAAAGTCATGTCCCCCCCAGCAGTGGGATCTGCTCCTTGCTTTGCTTTTCCAGTAGTGAGGATGGCTTGATTGAATACAGCCATTCTCTTGGGCTCATCTCTGCAGGATCATTGCCCAAGGTATCAGGGTTGGTCTGCGACCAGGTATGGAGGAAGGCTGGCTTAACTGCCCTGACCATCTTCTGTGATACAATGGAAGGATCTTAGACTTGAAGTTCAGTCAAAACCCCAGTTCGGGGTTTCATCAACCTAGTACAGGAGCAACCCTGTGCTACCCTAAAATGTTCACAATCACCTGGGCAGATGAACCATAAAAATAGTGAATTTGGTAAAACTGTACACATTTGATTTAAATTACTTCTGAGAAAATTCTTCATGAAGGAAGTGAAAGATTGGTCATAAAACCTGTCATTCCAGGCAATATTTGCAGTACTGGTGATGGTAAAGATTGGGCTGTTTAGACTTGGGGTAATAGCTGAAAAGATGGGTGCATGCATGAGTGGGTGGGTGGTGCTTTATTTTTGTAGCATTGCCAGTGTTAATTTATGTACTTGGAAGAGTCTAATCAGGCTCTTGGATATTCTGAGTTTGGCTAAATAGAAATTTTTCAGCTAGTGGGAGTAGCACGAGGGTTGCTCTGACCAAGCTGAAGTGAATTGCACAACCAGAAGATTAAAAGCCCCAATGGCAGCTTTTTATTTCCCTTTGATTTATGTATACTTCACCTGCCATTTCCTTCCTCTCTGTAAGATGTTTGTAAGCATAGTTTGTATTTTTGTTCTTTATCCAACATTTGGGAGTATAAACTTATATCTCTATTGATCTTCTTTGTTGACTGAAATCTTAGAAGTCCTGATTTGGGTTCTCCAAAGTTATGCGTGTGTGCAGTTGCATCATCTTGGAACAGAAATGATAGTGTTAATCACAATGTTTTGTTTACAAATTTTTTTAAATCCAGTGTGTTTTATGTGCCCGATGCTGTGCTGGATCCAGATTCACGGCCCTTTACCATGCAGATGTGATGCCTTCAGTTTAAGACCATTTACCCTTCAGTTCAAATACCACCAAGCAGAGTGACTCATGCTTTAAAAGGGACCCCAACTGGCTCCCTGAAAATACACGTTCCTTGTCTAGGGCTTTCTAAAGACCGGAATATCTCTCTACATGTACCTTTGAATTCCCTTTTACAAGGGAGTTTCAAGTTTGAATTGAAGAACTACAGGAGACCAAATATGCCCCAAACCTGGGTTTAAGAGACCTGGTTCTGTCTAAGCTCTGCCACTCACTGACTAGCTGTGACGCTTGGACAAGGCTCTCTACCCTCTCAGAAACCAGTGTGGTACCTGTGTGTGGGGGGGTAATCCACTGAGACAGAAAGCCCCTGCTGTTGCTGACAACAGATCTCAGCAGCGGATTACTGCCTGTGGGAGAAATCCCTCCACTGCCTTTTCATCATTTTTGGGGTGCTTTTAAAAGGATCTCCCTACCCCTTTGGGGGCTTATTTTCATTGCAAATGACTTTCAGTATGTCTTTCCTCAAATCATTTCACTGTTCACCTTAGATAACTTTTCAGTGAGGTCTGCTGTTCTTTTCTCTGAAAAATATTGAGGTGCTAATAACAATACAATCTTAGGTATGTGGCAGTGGAAATCACCCCTAGGGACCTGTGCTGTGGACACTTTTATAGTTGAGATATTGAAAAATCCAGCCAAAAATTTTAAAAAATGGAAAATACATGTTTTGTACATTTAAAAAACATTTCATGGGACCTTTGGATTGTACCAGTCTTAAAAAGGGAAGCAGGGTAGGAGGTATGAAAACTGAGTTAGGCCTTTCAAGCCTGTGCTATTGAGAAGTAATATTGGCCCTTGTTTTCTTGTCCTTGAAAGTTACGTAATTCAAGGATCACCACATTACTCCTAGCCCAGGTTGTGGAGTTGAAGGACCTGGTTTTCCATGGTGTAGAGTTGGGGCTTTTGCAGTAGGCGATGGATGGCTTCGACCTTCGTTTGTGATTATAATACCAGGAATTCCCCTTCAAGGCTGCGTGGCACATTTCTGTCTGCTCTGTCTTCCCAGAATGCTTGCAGAAAAGTAGGTCGGCTTTGCCGTACAGAGAGAGAAACAGGCAGAGAGCAGGTGGAACACTGCGGGGAAGGAAGAAGACAGGTCCTCCTCCCTTTCTCTTCGCTTCAGCCCCAGCTCATGTCTCCCTCTGAAAGGCTGTAGCAGTTGTTACCTTAACCGCCTGTCCTACCATCCATCGCTACTGCATCATAAATAACTGTGCTTAGTATGCTCAGTGCTATTCTCTCCAAATAAATCTTAACCTCTTTCCATGCAGAAGCCACTCTG